ACAAATGTCCGCCGATCTTTTAGACGCGGAGCAGCCCCTTCATTCCTTCGAATTTTTTTTACCAAAACAAATGTAATTTTTTGTCTTTTCGTTCTTGTCGTGAACGATGGGTCCCAGTTCAATGAATTATGGGTTTTAAGAACACGATTTGTCTGCGAAGGACTTAAAGCGAGAAATTACGATATAAAATTTCTGTGCAGCATGGAAGAACGAGCAGCACTTCAAGCAGTAGCTAGAGCCCAAAGGAATCGAGATGTGGCCTTTTTGTGACTAAAGGTGCGCTCGTTGCAGCGCCCTGGGGCTGCCAATCCTTTCTGAGCTCCGCCTCCGCCTGTGCTCCGCCCCTCAGCAGATCGCTGTTCGATTATCATTCTGATAAGGTATGCCACTTCGAGCGCGTATCCAATTTTTTTCTCATGGAATGCTATATCAATCAAGGTATGATCTCTGGTGGTATGATGGCAGCTATGGTTTAACGAGTGCCGACGACCTCTTAGTTGGTTGCCAACTCGTCCATTATCGGAGGTCAACGGGCAGAGGAAGTGGTCCCATTTTGCGCGTTTTTGACGGATTTCTTTGCTTTTTTCGCTACTAGGGCATTATTCAGCATCTTCACTTCCACTATGAGCACAACAGAATCCCATCGCAATCTCTCGCTTTAAGCAAGTCGTCATTACGTTGTATAACGGTAGAGCAACCTGAGTTCAATTAGACGCAGCGTTATCTCAGCGCAGTTTTATCACGGATACGGTTCTGATAAAAACCAGCGAGGTCAAACCGTTACTCGGTGTCATTATGACTCAGTATTGATTCATTCTCGTATGTCGCCTGGTGATGGTCGTGCAGTTAAAGAATTCTCCAACATTATTTGCAATGATGCTTCGTGTACTTAAGACAAGGTAGGAAAGGTTCACAAAAATCATGTACAATTTGGAAAAGATGTGAAGGCGGAACCAAAGATTCGAGCAGTTTCTCCCGCACCACCACCTCATGAGGTAGGGGCCAGCCTATCTCACTGTAATTGAAATTCATTATGTCTCTTGGGTTGTTTTTGTGGGGTGTTTTGGTTTGCCATACTGATTTAATCTCCTATCGATAAAACACGAAAATTGCATTCATTAGTTTCTTGGGCTAGGAAACTATAGACGTCACGGTAGAGCAGTGTTGATGGCCCCGAATCATTCTGATTGGCCATTTTGCACAAAGCGGTGGCTTAAAGTAGTTACACTGTAGTCAAACAATTAATGTCTTTATATTCGTCCACGTGCATCAAATGGGTTCAAGAAGCTGGCTAACATCTTTGAAAAGGTCATCCGATGGTATAACATATTCGAGATCGGACGTGCGATAGGCGAATAAACGTCAGCTAGTAGGGAAAAGGTTCTACTCGGTTAGGGAAATAGTAGAGTAAGTTAATATGCATCCAGGCGAGTAGGATTGACACGTATCACATTTTGATTTGGTTCACGGAATCCGCTCATCGAGCGGAACCATCAACAGAGGTGGCCAAAAAAAAAATCCCCTGCTCGTCACCATTACTTCAACCAGACTACAGTCGCATAGGCTCCGCAGTCACTCCTCTCAAGCACAGACAAGGCCAATATTTCAAATGCCGCGTCGACTAAGCGGTCTTCCGTAAAATACTGCGGCCTAAAGCAGCCCCATACATGAAATCGGTTAAACAAGAATATAACACCAAGCCGGACTCACAGTTACTAACAAAAAACAAAAGGTCGCGAATCGACCGTACCGGATTGCATACATGTCGCCCGCCGAATCAGGAGCGACGCTTACCTAAAGGGAACGCAAGATCAGCCCCCGAAGGAGTCAAAGATCGACAAGCTAACAGAGCGTAGATAAAGAGTAGACAGCCAACATAAAAAAAAAGCTGAGCAGTCATTTGAAGAAAGGATGAAAACGTCCATGCCCTACGCCCCAACCGCCCAACACACCAGTTAGGGAAAAAAACTCGCCAAAAACATACTCAAATGGTACTTTTCCCGCTCTCACCGCAACAATTAAAGCAACAATCCAGGAACGAATTCGCGGGTAAGGACCACCTATAATGACGTTGCAGGTGAGAAGTTGGTCAATGGAGAAAGAAAAAAGTAGAAAAAAACGTCGGGCAGGGGCTTAGACAGGGACTCCCCCTGCCGTTTAGGGAGACGTGTGTTGGACGAGTTGTCCGAACCTGCCCGTAGTACATGCGCTCCAATTGCAACTGCTGGCAAATAGCCATGCATGCTTGCAAATACATAACTATTTGCCAGCAATCGAAATTGAAGCGCTTCAATTGCGTTCTTATGGAATCGACCTCATACAGCGCGGCGGTCCCGCAACGACCGCTAGTCGAGCAAGCGCTCTGCACAGCTGCTTGGAGGCGGCCCCACCACGGATCGGTGGATCCGCCCCTCTTGAAGGATTTCGACTGCTTCCAACGCCTTTCAGAGGTAAGTTTTGAAGTTTGTGACATTTCCCATGAACTCCAATCAGGCTGAGGCATGTTTCCACCACTTGAAAACCAAATGGTTGAAACCCTGCCTGGACTGTTGCTTTAAGTTGTTGGGATTGGGTAGGACATAAATAATGTTATCGCACCATCGACTTGAACGTTGCGAATTCCACGACTACACGATCTACCCCGTACGAAAAAACAACACGTTTTGACAACACGTCAATACTGAAAAAAATCATTCAATAACTAATAACCTAAAGTTAAGACTGCAAATGAAAACGATTTTAATCTCCCGACAAAAAATGTACAAAAAACAACAATAAAAAGAATGAACAAGAACCCGAACAAGATCCACTTTTGTGTTCACTGACAACCTCGCAATATGCCACACTACATCTACATACATCTCGCGCTTCTTTCTTCCCCTATAAGCTAGCATAGAAAAACAACTACATATGCTTTTCTGTATGACGCCACGCTTGTGACTCACCCCTCGACGACTGGCTTGCTCGTCGAAATGGCGCTCCAATGCTTGTTGGTGCGCCTCTCTAGCTGAAACGATTGTATTACGCTACTCAGTGAATCCGCGGCTTTGTTATTATGTATCGGTTGAAGGAAGCGGTCACGGAAATCCCATGGAGACGATAGGGAAGCGACATACTGGATTGGGTAGGGGTCCTACCCAATGGGACGAGGGTGACGCTTGAGGGGCGTGGCGCCCTATTAATGACGTTATAGGCGCGTCCACCACACCCGTCTTCGTTCGGCGTTACAAACACCCTAGCAACGGGAAGGGATGCAACAGCAGCGTGCTAATATCACGAATGAGAATCGGTCCGACACTCCCATGAATCAAGCCGTGATACATACGGCGTTGCTCCTCATTACTACCTCACCGTGCTAAAGCTCCCTTCTATTTTATAAAGCGCAAACTGTGTGTCGTGTAGTTATCTTGCGTGTGTATGTAGTTATTATTCTGTGTCCTACGCTATACGAAGTTATTAAATCGGGTAGCTTACAGGATTTGAGATATCAATGTTTTGTAGCAGGATAGTTGTGATAACACTCTTAGGGCTATATAAACACCTGCTTAGCACACTTCCGTTCATTCCACATGGTGCTGCAGTGGCAGCTGGAGGGCAGTGGAGAGAGGAGGAAGGGAAGCGAAAAATCTACCGTCATATCATGATTGTGTCCCTTCTACTGTATGAAACACCATTGTGTTGCATACGCGTCACTTCCAGGAGGTGTTGGTGTCACAGGAGGAAGGGACCATAGCGGAGGATAGAAAGCTTGCGCAGGAAAGGAAGGTCCCGGCGGTTGACGGGGGACTAATCTGGTCTATTAAATCCCAGCTGTCATTTGGAAATTGAGTATGACTATTTTGTCGTTGCACTACTAGGGCATATTGTGCTGAATACATGACGACTCAATTTGAACACGCCCTAAAAATGCTTAGTTTCTAGGGAGAAGGGCAGAGATCAGAAATCATATCTGAGAGCGTACAAGTGAAGACCTATTATTCTGTCATTCCTCTTATTAGGTCACTGAAAATATCACCGTATTGCAAGTTCGTGGCATGCAATGTTCTGACTTCGTTGTTACTGTTACTACATTGCATTTTGAATTTCACTTATCGTTAGTTGAACTTCCATATAAACGAAGAACTCCGCGAAAATTCATGGAAATAATCGTAGTGATGAACACAGTCTAACAGTTTCTTTGGTAGGAGCCAAACCCAAAAAAAGCATTCGGAAAGCTGATTTGTAAAAAAGCATGCTTTGGCTATGAGTAAATTCAGCTAAAGTACGACTTTCACTGAAACACTAAGAAGAAAAATAAGCTACAGATGGGAGATTGGCACAGGTATATGCACAGGGAATCATTTACTGAGCTAAACAGATACATTTTCCAAAGGAAGGGTTACTTGTTTTGAGGAATACTCTAGTGCGCAAACAAATCAATCGTACAAAGAGATATTCACTAAACAATTCGGGAACTAAGTGCTAGATTGAATCCTATTTCTCGAAACGAAACAAAAGTGAAATAAACTCGGCAAAGTAAGAGAGAGCGAATCGGCTGGGGTGTAATCGCCATTTAGTGCGCCGGCATTATGTCAACATATTCACTCGTCCAATCGCTGTCTATCTCCTACCTTATCGGTAGATAACGCGAAGCTCGGTTATCCACGTGGAAGCCAGCGTGACCGCTTCCTAATGGATATCATTCTAGAGATAGTACATAGCTCTTATGCAAGACCCCCGACCAGCATTTGAAATAACATCGTAATGACCCGTGATCTGCCGAGAACTACGTTGTGCTTCTATTATGACATCTGTTGATAGTGAAAGTGCTCTTCAACATTCAGTTAAGAGTATTCGGTTTGGATTCAGCAAAGTATGATCAATGTCACTTTGAATGTAGAGTGAAGTGTCTTTTTTTGGGCCACCCCTGCAATTCATACGTACCCTGATGCTTTCGAGTGAGGCATCCTTATGCAGAGAGCCCATACAGCCAACGTACACCACCCTAGTCCCCCCTAGGACAGCCGCAAGGGATGACTAGGAGAGGGGTGCTCAGTTCTATCTTTCTCCGGAGCTCCTCCCCTCCTCCTAGACTTATGGTTAGTCCGCTCAATAGTGCCGAACGCGACGAATCCAACGCCACAGTTGAAGAACTTGTTGAACATCAAGTCATGCGTCAAGCAAGACTGGTTGCTTACATAAGCCTCCAGAAATAATCACAACCAACTTGTCACATATCATATGTCTAGGTAACAGCTCCACCACCGGCATTACCATTTGCAATAAAAGACGAAGTTGAGCTTCTCCGTTCTGGGACGTTGAATAAACACGGTGATCGAGTCAAGTCACAAGCAGCAGCTCCAAATGGTACTAAGGCAACGTGATCACCATCGCTTGGTTCTCATATAAAATTATCGAATGATGTATAAAACGTTCGTTGTCGGGTTTTCACTTCACCATTTTAAACGGCAGATTTAGAGCAACAAGTTTATTTATTATGAACACTAGAAATAACAGAATTGTACCAGAACATCTGAATGAATATGTACGTTCCAAACTCGGGAATTCTTTCACACCATTTGACTCCAACTCGCGAATGTTCAAAGGATCAACCTTTGCAGCATTCTATAGAGCCATGGCCGACAATGACAAAACGGTCTCCAGGGAGAATGTGTTGTGATGCAGTCGGCTTGATGACCGTAAAGGTTCAATCGAGTAAATCCAGAATACAAGACAAATCCGTCGCCGTCATGCCGAATGTAGGCCTAAACATCCACACAGCATTGGCACTAGTCAAAAATTAAAAATTATCCATGAAGAAAATGATCGTACTATCCTACTATATATAGTAGTCGGTTAAGTGTGTCTGTTGGTGTGTGTGTGCGTGTGCGTATGTTTGACGAAAGGCACTATTTACCCTTTACTGCCCCACTCCTCGAGAACTGAGCCGGATTTTGATCGAAATTCGTCCATGACTGTGGATTTGGCTAGAAACTTGCCTTCAGGGGTAATTTGACCCGTAGAACACGAATATCATACCGGTTTAGCGCGAAAACGCTTGGCGCCCGCGCCACAGGCGCCGGCGCTATCACAACAGTTTTTGCGCGGCGCTCGTAAACGCCGGCTAAACAGCGCGGGGGCCGCAGGGCAATCAAATATGTTGTATATGTCATATTCTGATACGGGTCAGAGTACTCTCGAGGACAAGTTTCTCAGTGCGAATTTGGTTGAATTGCCGAGATGTTTTTGGTTGGCCTTTTGGCGTTTTGGCGCTTGCTGCGGGCGTGGGCGCGCCAAATCCATTGTCCGGCGCTCTACCAGTGTGATAATTGCGTGATTCGTAAACGGGTCGAAAATAGGCCCTTGAGGGGCAATGTTTTTCTAGCCAAATCCACAGTCATGGACAGATTTCGATAGAAACCCGGCTCACTTCTCGAGCAGTGGGGCAGTAAAGGGTAAATATGCCGACGCAATTCGTAATGCGGGCACCAGCGGTCGCCAACCAGTCGTCGCCGGATTGTGATTTCGAAATCCATGACATATGGGGGGGACGGAACTATCTGGTTAGAGGGGCCGTAACAGTAAAAACACTGAGCCAAGGACTGATATCAACGACCTGAACTGGCAGTCCCGGCGAAATTGATAACGCGGCCCCTTACAATGTGTGGTTACGGAGTTCACTTTCAGGACGATCTAGTGTAGAGGGTGGGACGAAACATATTTGGCTGAGACGGCGAATGTGATAAGCATCGGATAGGGACGGCTGACAAAAAAAGCCACTAGTCCGGCGTGCGGTGGCACGCAACTGAGGCGTGTCAAAATGTTTCCAAGGCCTTCTGCTCTGCCTTTCTTCAGGGGATCAAAGTTTTGTGGGGCATTTATGTACCCTTGCCTCCAGGGTGTAAAATACAGAAATGTAGAGCTACTAGGTGGAAGGTTCAATTGTACGATTCTTCGAATGAAAATGGAGGGACTCGAAAAAAGTGGATATGACCGCGCGCGCACGTGGTCCTCATAATTTTGGCGGCCAGCTGACCTGTATATGAGTTTTGGCGGGTTTTTAAGATAAGTTACTTAGAAATTTACAAAACTGATGCGTCTAAGTTCTTCAGCAGAATCCAGACACAGGGGCAGCCCTGTTGAAACCTCATTACGCGATGCCTCGAAGCCAATTTTAAGCTCCCACAGTTTTACCTGTAGAGGCTTGCTCAATTTTTTTCTCTATCAAATCAAATGTAGCACTACTCTCTCCTGCTTTTATGCACTTTTAACGCCTTGCGAAGAAAGAATTGTTGAGTTTTACTAGTTGTATGAGGTTCTACTATAGCGTAGTTATTCTGATTTCTCACGTCTACCTTATGTAGCGTATGAAATAATCAAAATGAAAAAAATTACTTATGGGACCAACTAATAAATACTAGTAGTAGTTGAATAGTGCCGAAAAATTACACGGCTTGACTCAAAAAAAATTCAGAAATTATTTTAGTAGAACATTTACCTTCGAGAATAAATTTAAAATTTTATGTATGAAATAGGAAGGCATACCGAAACGAGAGCGCCTGACGGTTTGAGGTACACGGTGATCTCATACAATAAAACGCCTCCGTCCTGGATCTGCGTCGCACTGAATGTCTTAAAAAGACACATTAATACAAACGATGTGTCTTTTTGTGATAATTTTATGTGAACTCGAAGAATCTTCACCACCTGGAATACAAAAAGAATCATACCGAATTGTAAGACTGTGGTTGGCACAGCAAACTCAGCCCAGCTTTAGCCATATGATTGTTCAACTGGTTTGCAAGGAAGTAACCCGCTCGATCCTGGATAGCATTGTCACTGAAAACATTTCATTCCAGTATAATCCGTGATCCGTAGATAAAGTGGGAGCTTATAGTTCGCTCAATGCAAGTTGGTTCATAGCAAACACCAGCCTTGCACTATTACATATCAACACACTAGTAGATACTACTTTCTAAGTACTGGTCAAAAATTGTCTTAACAGGGGCAAGGAAGTGATATGTGGCGCTACGGACACATTATGGTCGGCAGGAGATCAAATTTCCAGTTGAATTCTGATTATACCAAGTAAATCTCCGCGACTGATTATCCTACTGATAACTGCACTGCTCTCATAATTATAACTACGTAAGAATATACTAAAATTTCACAAATTTAGATGTGTTGAAAAAGTCTCCAATGTGACAGTTAAATATTATTGTGAAATTGCCTACGAACATTGAATCCCAAATTCTTCTTATTCCTTAGCGTCTGTCCCGCTTGTAGCGGGGTCCGCTTTTCTTATATGTTGACGCCACTTTTCCCGATTAAATGCTTGATCGGGGTGGATGTTAACCGACTTCAAGTCTACGTGCAACGTATCGAGCCATCGCTGCTTCGGGCGCCCCTAGGCCGCTTTCCGGGCACGTCAAGGTTGAGACCGATCTTACGGACACTGTCATCTTTCGCGCGAAGGACATGACCATACCATCGAAGACGGGCTTCGCGCATCTTGTCGACAATTGGAGCCACCCCGAATCGCTCTCTGATGACATCGTTTCGAATGTGGTCTACTCGTGTGACTCCGGCTGTCCAGCGCAGCATCTTGGTCTCCATCACACTGAGACGTGCTTCGATCTCTTTAGTCGTAGGCCAGCACTCAGCACCGTAAATCGCGACCGGCCGGATGACGGTCCTATAGATCTTAGATTTGAGACGTCCAGTCATCGAGCACCCTTTCGACCAGGCTGCATTCACGCAAGAATTCGTTTCCATTGAATCCCAACTTAAGATCACATTAGCTTCTAATAATTTTTGTAGAAAAGGTCACTTAACCGATGTCTAAAAATTATATTTCTATTAGTTTTAGTTTACTATTAGTTTCCACTCACGTATCACTAAACGTTTTTTTGGCCTAAAATCTCACCTGTTAAAAAGGCACGATAATAATTCTGCTGTCGGGTTTTGAAAAGGGCATATCATAAAAACTGTCGGACAGAGCAACCCTGGAAATTCACGCTGAGCTCACAAGGGAAGGATACCAGGTCGAAGTGGCCATTTGTAACGAGACATACACCACTAGATGTGTTTTTGGACGCTGATCTCGAATCTGCTCTCCAAATCTGCGAAACGATTCTCTGAACGTAGTTATGAAGCGAGATAGTGCAGTGGCAGCGGCCCGGGCCGACGAGCAAGAGGTCGTGGATCGACTTCTTGGCGAGTTCTCACTTTTGCTTTTCTTGAAACATTGTTTAAAGGAACTTTATCCATGCTAAGTCATCAGCGATTGCCTATCATACAAGTGGAAAGAGCTGGCGAAGAGCTTCGAACACTGTGCGCGTCATTTGCAAATGACCGTCTCTGGCACCCGTAGCGCATGCGTCATGCACTTTCTTGCCAAACAGATGTGATTTTCGTGTTCAGCGCATCAAACTACCCCTTCCGACAACTTTTGGTCCAAATCCAAAATTTTGACCTAAAGTCGAAAATGTGGGCACACACGACCGAAGGACACGGCAAATGACGCGCACAGTGTTCGAAGCTCTTTGCCAGCTCTTTCCTCTATAGGATAGGCAGTCGCTGATGATTTAGCATGCATAAGAGTCCTTTGAACAATGTTTTCAAGAAAAGCAGCTGAGAACTCGCCAAGAAGTCGATCTCACGACCTCTTGCTCGTCGGCCTCGGGCCGCTGCCACTGCACTATCTCGCTTCATAACTACGTCCAGAGAATCGTTTCGCAGATTTGGAGAACAGATTCGAGATCAGCGTCCCAAAAACACATCTAGTGGTGTATGTCTCGTTACAAATGGCCACTTCGACCTGGTATCCTTCCCTTGTCAGAAAGAATTTCTTAGGGCTTTTACATAGGATAAAGCTGAAAAAAGCTTCGAGGGCCTTTCCTTACTCTTCGATAGAAGGAAGGACGTGTCACAAGAAAAACTTCCACCAATACCGTGCTGTCCTCTGCCATCGAACCTTCTTCAAAAGTTGAAGTCTTTTGGAACAATATTTCGTACGGTGAAAGAATTCCAAGCTTATCTTTTGTCTGTTTCACTTTTCGTGTTTTTCTTTTCCCGT